AAATATATTTTATATGTAGTAATTAGATATATATAATTGAAAAGTGAATAACTCATAATTAATATTTATTTTTTTTACTTAGTTGAAATTAATTTAAAAAATATTTAAAATGATAGATAATTATGTAAAAAAAAAGATATTTTGATGAAATGGATAATTTTAAAATAAATTATAAAAATATTATATTTTAAGAGTATCAAATTATAATAATATAAATAGCTATCAACACATTCAATTACTTTAAACGTGTTTTGACATTTCATCTCATATATAAAAAAGAACATAAATTTTTATTTCAAAATATTTTCCATCAACTAAAATTATAAAATTTTATACATAATAATTAAATAAAGATAAGAAACAAGTCAGATAATTGAAAATTTTTCTAATGTATCTCTCAATCATGTTATAGTTACATCATTTCATAACAGTATGTAGTTTTAATTTTTTGTTTTTTTTAAAAAAAATATATATATTAAATTTAATAAAAATATAACTTCTATTGCACATATATATATGTATATGTGTGTGTGATTATTTTTCTAAATTTTCTAAAGTTGAATTAATATGCTTTTTCACTTTAGGGAAAAATATCATATTCATTATTTGATCACGGCATGATTGCCTTTTTTTCCCTTTGTTATAATAACAATAATCAAACCAAAGTATCCTATGCTTATGAGTCCTAATTATCTTTAATAATTAATGATTACTTACATATAAGCAAGTTTAAAGTAGGTTTAACAAAATCGGACAATACGTATCAAACCCACATAATTAACACAAAGGGTATAAAAGAATAATAATAAGTATACATACAAGTATATGTATATGTATATGTATGCACATATATATATATATAAGTGTGTGTATGTATATATATATATGGCCACTTGTGAGAAAGGGTTGAGAATCATTCAAGCGAGATAGACAAGAAAAGTGGCGTCTAAAATTTTATAAGCCAAACCCCCCCCCCCCCCCCACTTGCTGCCTGTACCTCCACACTGACGGCTGATCATGATGTATTGAAGTTGCTTTCCTCAACTTCTCTTCCTCCTCACTCAAGCCACCACCATCCAAAGCATTACATACATACATACATACATATATATATATATATATACACACACGCACACCATATATATTTAATTTAAGCAATATGTATATATGTATATATATATATATGTCCACGTTATTATGTCATAGTCTTTTAGTTAAAAGGGCAGAAAAAAATGCCGTCTAATTTTTGTTGAATCTACAACTTTGGTATTAACTTGACTTGACCCAATGGGTTTACGTGTCAAAACTAATTAATTAAGATTAAGAGTTCATTAATTAAATTAGATTTTGTTTAATTAATTATGCTTTGTTTTAAAGTGGGGATTACATAATTAAACCACAGTTTTTTTTTTTTTTTTGTAAATAAAAAATGTATTAATTATTAAATTAAATAGTAAGTGTGAATGTGATTGCTTTAATGAATGCTTAGTCAATTAGTTAAGCTTTTTGGACTTAATAATTAAGCTTAATTTAAGCCCACCAATTATTGTTTATTTATTGCACTTGTTTTATGAAATTTGATAAAAAATGCAAGTGTCAATTACTAAGGTTTTTTTTTTTTTTTTTAAGCCTGTTGCATAAAATTAAAAACGCCCACAACATTATTTATAAAAAATACGACTCTTCGTAAATATATAAAAAATATATATTATCATATTTTATCATAAAATGTATTAATAATTAAATATCGTATAAAAAAAATAAATATTTTATCATATTGTTTATATATTAAAATTAATCATAATTTTATAATAAAGCCGTGAATGATATTTTAAGCAGCCCTCTAGCAATCAAATTATATTTTTAATTTAGTATTTTTTTAAATAAATTCATAATTTACATAAATTTTCTTTATAAATTATTTATTTATTTCAATTCAAATAAATATTCATTTTATTAAAAACTATATTTAAAAATAAATATAATGGGATCCCTTTATGCATTGACGTATAATTCAATTAACTAAAAGTTGTAAATTATAAAAATAATAAAAGTTTGTTTTTATAAGATATTGACTATAGGTTATAATATTAATAATGTAATTATAATCTAAATATTCTATGCCAAGCCGGTAAGCTATGATGACTGTGACACGATCTCGATATCTTCGGGGCAGGTGGTTTAATATTTAATTAACTATTAATCGAATTTAATCAACGATCACTAATTAATTTGTATGCACTAATCAAACTCTTAATTTAATATTTTATTGATTAATCCTGGGTTTTACTATACAACATCTCACTTTAGATAATGTTTATTTACAAATATAAGATTTAATTAAACTGAATGAAAATTTACAAATTGGCTGAATTAATTAACTACACTAATTTATTTATTTAATTATATTTTAAAAAATGTTAATTTAATTTAATTATAGACAGGTCCACGTGTAATTCGTGAATTATAATTAATTAATACGAATGACAAAATCTGTCAGGTGGGCTAACGTACGTGCTCGACCATACTCTCTGTTGTGGTCCTTCACTGCATATGGGCCATTTAAAGACGACTTTGAAATATTTAGGCCCTCACTTTGAAAATATTTTATTTAAAAATTATAGAAAAAATTATTAATTTTTTTTCAAAAATAGATTTAATTTAATGATACACGTAATTATATGAAAATTTAATAATTATTTGATTTTTTTTTATATTTTATGTAAAAATATTAATTATCTAAAAATACAAAATTATGGAAATAACCGAAGAGAAAACTCAAAGGCCCAAACAAACGGCTAAATGTGGGCCTTAAGAGCCCAACGAAACCCTTCAAACCGACCCGAATCTAACGGCTAGTATTCCCTTTCAAAACGAAATAATTTCCACATCCAAGCTTAACGCCGTTAGTCTTTTTTGCAATTGGCTGTTGATCTCCGTCACAGAAAATTTTAAAACCCAAATGTCCGTCTCTCTTAACGGCTCGTTTTTTCTTTCAAAAGAAATCGCCCATTGTGCTCGTTGGTGTTCCTTTTTTTTTTTTTCCCTCTCTCGCAGAGAATCAGAGATCAGAAGATACTCGCACGAGATCATCTTGCATGGAAAATCAGTAATTTTATTATCAGGTGCGTTACTGGATTTCTCTTCTTTCTTCGTTTTACACGCGCAGTCTCTGAAAAATGGGAAGGGGAAGGTCGCACCTTTCATTTTCCTGCGTTTTCTTGGCAACCAAACAGGAAATGTTAGTTATTGGGAGGGAAAGAAACCTTTTTTTTCCTAAGAATGTAGAAGCAAAAGTTTGTTATCTGCTTGGCCTAGTTTTTCTTTTTCAAGGATTTTGTTTTTACCTACAACTTTCCTCCCTTTAGAGCATTTTCCGGCTTTTTTTTTGTTAGTTATTAAGTTTTAAGTCGTAGCCTAGAAAATTAAGGAAGAAAATACGGCTGTAAAATCTGACTTTGCCTCATCCTCCATGTTATTTCATCTCCTTGATTGAAATCTTTTAGTTTTTTTTTTTCTTTCCTGAGATTTACATTTTCTCAGAAACCAAGCAAGATTTAATATCCTTATAGAACTTCGTTATGAAGACTCGGCTGAATTTTTTTTTGAAATTGCAACTTGAATCAGGTTATTTACTATTTTAGTTTTAATTGGTTTTTGTTCTTCAGCTTTTCTTATATTTTCAGTCTTTTTCATTTGTTCCTTCTATGATTTGGAAATGTAGTTATATCCAGAAACAGAGAAGCTTATTTATGTGAATATCCGTGGTTGTCACTTGCAATGTAACCAAGATAATGTTTGGAACCAATCAAGATTTTCATCAATGGAATGTGTTTAAAATTTATGCCTACCATAGCTAGGATAACGAGGAGATGCTGAAAATGACTATAAAAAAATTTGAAGAGGAATTGGATTGATGCATTCTATATATAACCTAAAGAAATGGCATATTTTATTATGCAGTTTGCCATAAGAATATTTCTGCTTCTGGTTGTTACTTGCACAAACAGCATTTTGCCAAATCATATTCTTCATTCATTTCCTGATATGAAAAATTTTCTGGCATCTGAAAACCACACCTGGTAAGCTCAGAACTTTACAAATCCTACTGGTGTCTTGAAAGGAATATCTATAGTAACTGATACTTCAAAATTTCATTCACTTTACTTTTCGCACTATCTTACTAGTTGTTTACATCTATTATTAAAACAGCTCTTTTCAATCATGTAATTTAATTTTCTTGCTTTTCAACCAAATCAAGAGGATAATAATGAAAAGGGATAGAAGATTTCCCGAACAGTTTATTTTTAATCTGTGTAGTTTGAGCTTTTAAATATTCACAAGTCAGGGGTTCTCTTGTCCTGTTAATCTTATTAAATTGCAGTTCAGTTTGTTTGGTTACATGTGCATGTCGGACAAAGTCTAAAGGATTAGACTTTGAATTGTGTGTGTCTCTGTGTTTGAACATTGAGAAGTTTTTCGTTATGGGAAGTTTGACGTTTTTTTTTTCTAAGTGAACAAGACTTATTTTATGTTCTCGTAGAAACTTCCAGCTTGTATCTAACTCTTCCCTCGCTTATGACAGCTGCTTATCAGGGGCTTATCAGTGAAGAGAGAAGATGAATGGGGTATATGAAGAGCTTGATGAAGTTAAAGCTGAGAATCAAAAGCTCAGGACAGACTGCAAAAGCAAAGAAGACATGGTTGAGAACCTGAAAAGAGTTCACAGTGACCAGCTCCTCAAAATTCAAGAAGCAAATTTGAAAATTGAGAAGCAGGCCCAAGAGCTGAATGAAAAGGAGGAGGAAATCTCTTCACTAAGGCAAATGTTTGAAGATCTAAAAAGCAGTTTGAACGAAAAGGAGTCCATCCTCAAGCGTGTGAAATCTATTAATGATAAGCTCAGGGTTAACTGTGAAGAGAAGTGCCAAATGTTGAAAGAGGAAAATGGAAGATTGTTTTTGGCTTTAGATGAAGCAAATGAGAAGAACATAGATCAAGGGCAACAAATTAATGTATATAAGGCAGAGATTGAAGGTCTCAAGGGACTTCTGTCAACATCACAGAATAAGTGCATTGAAGCAGAGAGAAAAGCCAAGGCTCCCAAAGAACTGAGAGAAAGAGATGATATGTTGCTGAAATTAGAGGAAGAAAATAGTAAGGTTGAAGATCAGCTAAAATGGAAGAAAGAGCAATTCAAACATCTAGAAGAAGCACATGAAAATCTTCATGGTCAGTTCAGGTCAAGCAAGAAGGAGTGGGAATTGGAAAAATGTACCCTGCTTGATGAGATTTCTTCATTACAGGCAAGCTTAGATTCACAGACTAGAATCTCAGAAGATCTTAAAAATCAGTTACAGAGGTGTAACCAAGCACTGGCCCATGAAGAAACTCGAAGGAAGTATCTGGAAGTTCAAGTTTCTGAGTTCAAAACAAGGTATGAAGATGTTTTTGCTGAGTGTCAGGACACCAAGTCACAACTAGATGACCTGACTGTCCAAAGAGACAAGGAAATTGCAACTTTGAGACATTCCCTGAGCACGAAAGATACGTTATACAAAGAAATAAAGTACCAAGCAGGAAAACTTGAGCAAGAAAATCAAGAGTTGCTGACCTCACTCAGAGAACTGCAGGAAGCTAGGATTCAAGAAGCAGGAAGTCCTTCTCTGGCCAAACTACAAAAGAAGCTCAAAAGTGTGGAGCAGATGCACAAAAATTGCTCCACTAATCTTAGGAACAAAGAAGCTGAATGGAGCTCTCAACTGGAAAAGGTGAATGTGGACTTAAACAACTATAGATCTCAGTTGGAAGGCAAAGATAAAGCATTAAAACGGCTTGAGATGGAATTAGAAGGTTGTCACTCTTCGGCAATGCAATTGAAATTGCAGAATGAGGAGATTTCTATGATTTTAATGGTGTTGAAGTCAGCAATAGCAGACGCACAATCAAAGCTTGCAAATGATGAGGCTGAAAGGCATTTCCATGAGAAGGATGAAGAAATGAAGTTTATGGGATTGACGAAGCAGCTGGAGATGAAGAATACTGCTCTAGCTAAAGCACAAAAAGATATTGAAGAAGAACGTGAAAAGACCACAGCCTTATTGAGGAGGGTTGAATGCTTGAATCTTATTGAAGATCAGCACCTCCAAACGCAAAAAG